GGGGGGGTGCTTGAGGGGAGAGGAAAAAATACAAGAGGAGAAAATACAGTGTCCAGAGGACCAAAGGACAGCGGTGACGGGGGGTTGAGGGGGGGGAGAGCGGGTGGTTGGGAGGCGAGAGGGGGGTTGGGGGGAAGAGGGGGCGGTTGAGTAGAGAGGAAAAAATACAAGAGAGGAGAAAATACAGTGTTCAGAGGGCCAAAGAACAGAGCGCCGACGGGTAGTAAGAGGGGGTGGTTGGGGGGAGAGGAAAATATCCCTGCGAAAGATAGCCGATTTATAATTTACTCAATAAAAGTCTCTCGCAGGTTTTCACCACTGGCCAACATGTGTCCATTGTGCGCGGTATTCCCACCTTTTTCCATACGATTGTATTACAAGAGCTTTGACTATATCCAGAAACCACCGAATCGCGTGAATAAGTCACGAGCCACCCAGCGTCGTTATATCCCACCCCTGCTATCATCCTCTATCTCTATTACTCCTGTTTTCACCCTCTGACGAAAAAAAAAAAATACAGGGCATTTACGGTTTTTCGCATCGATCCATCCGTTATTTCTCCTTTCATCGGAAAAATATATCCGTAATTTGAGGATAAATACGCGGCATCACGAATATTCCGTTGAATATTTAATGCAGGGGGGAGGGGGGGGGGAACAACGGCTTTTTTTCACACGTAAAATGCGAGACCAAAATCGCTGGAAAATATCGGCTGGAGAAAAACCGATTGGCGGAGACGAAATAAAAAAAAAACAACAACAGATCATTAAGAATTCTTGGTTTATCTCACTAACACCTAGGTGACGATAGCAACACGAGCCCATTTAGTACCGAGAATCCCCCCACTCGGCCCGGAGAGTCCTCTGGAGTCACAAAGAATGCCTCTCATGAACTCCTCTGTTTACAATTTTTTTTTCCCTCTTCCCCCCCTCAGAATGTTTTGAGTAGGGTAAAAAAAACTTTTTGTTCTCCCGGGGAGAGTTGAAGTATCGAAAAATGGTGGAATAGCTAAAGACGTCTGAATAGTTTGATTAGTCTATACCCGTGCTGTAGACTTGAAAAAAGGCAGCAATATTTCCCGATTGCCAACGAATTTTGGGATCTAGGCGATGGATTAAGCGGTAATCGAGCGAAATTGAATGTTCAATTACCGGTAAAATCCGGATATCGATGGGAATATGTGAGCAGAAGGTCGAATTCTTACCGATGGAGCACATAACACACGACCGGTCCCTTCCAGAATGTTATTTCCACTGAAAACCAATAATAAACTAACACGAAATGACGTTTTGTTTCGCCGGGGAGAGAGAGAGTGAGTGGTTGAGCCGAACGTTTTGACTGTCTAGCGACGACTGAGTAGTGACCGCCGGGAAATGCACGAGTGCCGGCTCCACGCGCTATAGCCTGTCGGGGGGTTCGGTATTGTATCGATGTCAATGTAAAGCCGTCGGCCGTCACGACTACCCGGTACCCCCTGACGCTCCCGTATGCCCTCCGGGTTTTCCTCCCCCTCTTTCACCGATCCACGACTTTTCATTACCATGCTTTGGATGATGGAGGTATCGATTGGCACTTTTCGCAATGAGAAAAACTAATTCGAAGGCTCACGCGTTGTAATGTGTTTTCAATGGACACGTGGTGGTCAAAGCTCTCGACAAACGCTATAAAACAGAGCGTAAACTTTTTACGATGCGTAACGCTGACGGACGTTGCGGAGAGTACAGCATTGATGGACATATCATTTATTGGGGGAATATTTATTTTCAATCTCGTCCTCCCAGGATTTTCTTCGTCCCAGAAATTCAGTAGCGAAGTGGGAAAACGGTTCAAGTGGACTATCTCTCGGTTGGGTTTTTGAGGAATATCTCGGAATCTAAGGGAGATAGCGAAATTTTTGTAATGACTTTTTTTGTAGAGCGAATTGAGAGCTGCGAAAAAGGTTATAAGGAAAATTCTGATATCTCCCTTAGATTCCGAGATATTCGTTGAAAACTGGTCAGTAGTGAATAGGATTTTCTAGGGGATTTCATGTAGGAAATCCTCTAGGGAAAGCCCTATTGAAAGTTCTATAGGATTTTCTGTAGGAAATCCTCCAGAAAATTCTATTGACCATTCCTATATGGGAAATCCTATAGGACTTTCTGTAGGGTTTTCCCCAGAGGATTTCCCCTATAGGGTTTTCCCTATAGAATTTCCCCTATAGGGTTTTTCCTATAGGACTTTCTATAGGGTTTTCCCTCTAGGATTTCCTATAGAAATCCCTACCCTATAGGAAGCCCTATCCTATAGAAATTCTACGGAAAATTCGAACATTTCCTATAGAATTTCCTATAGACAATCCTATAGGAAATTCTATAGATAATTCTGTAGGAAATCCTATAGGAAAAATGCGATAGGAAATTCTATAGATAATTCTGTAGGAAATCCTATAGGAAAAATGCTATAGGAAATGTTCGATTTCTCCATAGGATTTCCTATAGGAATTCGTATTCCCATAGGATTCTATGGAATCCTATAGGATTGCCTACAGGAAATTTTATAGGATCCCATAAAATCCTACGGAATCCTATAGAATCCTATAGGAAATCCTATGGAGAATTCGAACATTTCCTATAGAATTTGTCAGAATATTAGAACCAGAATTTTTTTTCCCATAGAATTTTCATTTATTTTTTTTAATCCTATAGAACTGTCTACAGGAAATCCTATAGGATTGTTTCGCCCATAAAACTGACGCTAGAATGGAGCTGACTTGAACGGTTTGACCACTTCACTCCCGAACTGTCCGTTTGATTCGTTTTATTGACGCTTAAATTCACTGATTTCACTGAACAAAATGACTTATTACAACGTCTCTCCCGCATTTTTCTGTCTAAATGACAAAATGTGTTGTAATCTCGCCCGTTTACTGTCAAGACACCAATTTCTAACAGCACAGATTGATAAGAATAGTCGTAAACATGGGTTCCTCATTTTGTCAACGTCACATACCCCGAGGTAATGAAGAAAGATAAACCAGCATGAAACACCTACCGTCCGGGATAATTGTGTACAATTTGCCCGGCAAAATGATAATGTGAGAAAGTGTGCGGGGCGGTTAATTCATCCCCACGTATCTACCCCTCGTTCGTGCAAATTACAACTCCCAATGAAACCATATGTTCGTTACTCACCTGCGACGAGTGCAGCGTACAATAGTTTTCTCGTACGATTTTTCCCCCCTTTCTCGGGGGTATCATCACGCGGGGGTGAAAAAATACGAGGGGGAAGCAAAGCTTGCGGGAGACAATCCCTCTCCCTCAGCCCTCGGCTGCTCTCTCCGGAGTTTATACATTCTTCATGAAGAGGAGAGCTTCAATATCAGTCACTCAATTCCCCTCCCATTCGTTCTTTATTAAATCGCTGTCATTCCAGATTCACCTGATGACTGTTATTGCAATTTTTTTTCTCGATGACTTGTCGCTCATTTTTTCTAGGCGAACGCGGAAGGAAACAGACGCCGGGGGAAAAATAGGTCTCCGAGTCGTGAAAGTTTTTTGCAAACTATCAGTACTATTAGTATTTCACTGAATGCGTGAGTAAGAGGAGTAAAAAAGTTCAATTCAATTGTCTAGCGTTCCAGTTCCCTTCTTGTCGCCATCTGAACATGCCTTTTAGAGCCAGTTTTGCTTTTGTTTTATCTAAATTCGGGTCTGTCGTCCCTATTTCAACCCTAATTGGTCACCCTATGAAGGAAACCCGCCCCGCGCGTCTTTTCTTTAATTGACTGGCTTCCCGAAAAAAGAAAAAAAAATTGACTTTGTCCACTGAAGTGTCTAAAAATTACAGTAGTTTTTAGGAGAACTTATTCGCCCAAAATTCCTAAAGAAGGCAAATTATTTCGAACAGATGAATTATTTTTTCCCGTCTCAACCCCTCGCGTGCGGGGCCCTTTCCGTTACGAAACCTGACGTGCGCTGAATATCACTGAGATTCGATAAATTAGGATGCATGAAACATTATAAAACGCATCAAAAATTGAAGCTACACTATCCAGCTTTCGAATGGCGTTGGCGGAATTGGATTATCTGTCACAGTTTTGGAGTTATCCAGTTTTGAACAGAATCATGCGTTTTTTCGGGTCCATATGCGTATAAGGACCCCGTCCTTGAGCGGTCAACCGAAATGCGCGCGGCGCGACGTTGCCGGAAACTCGCTAAACGCGCTCGGGTAGTGTAGAGTGAATTCGGCAACGCTGAAGCCTAAATAACGCGGGGGGAATCCCCGCGGAGCGGACTAAGGCGCAGGGGCGCGTTCGGTGACCAGACTAGGGTTAACAAACGCTGTCATTCTAAATTCACCTGATGCCTGGTATTTGAAATGTTTTTATTTTTCGATAATTTCGCGGTTATATTTTTCAGGCGAACGCGGAAGGAATATTCCGAGGGAAAAAAGCTCTTCGAGTCGTGAAACTTTTTCATATGCTACCATTACTATTACTATTTCACTGAATGCGTGGGTACGGGGAATGAAAAAGTTAAATTGAATATTCTAACGCTCTATTTCTTTCCTTCTCTCCATATTATTATTAATGACTACGGGGTATTATCAGACCTGGGGTAGGTAATAGTCGACCGTTGGGGTCAGCAAGAGTGTCGTGACCCCTCTTCGATCTGCGCTAAAGAGTACAGCAATCGATTTACAATTCCAGTTCTTTATCTGCGAGGGATCTCGTTGCTCAATTCGTATTGAACAAACAGTCTGAATGCCAGTGCGACTTGTGGCTGACATCTAGCCTCTGTTCTCCGTTTTTTGGATTTTTTTTTTTTGGGGATGGCGAAAAATCCAGTGAGGACTGTTGAGAAAAATGGGGCTAGGGCCACGAGGGTCAGCAGCGGGTCGAGGATTTCTAACGGCGGGAGGGGAAGCACCGCCAGGGCTAATTCCGCACCCTCAAATAAGAGTTGCTTCAATGTTAAAGATGTAAGTCAATGTGCAATTCAGTGGCAAAGTGGTGAAACTGCTCAAGTCAATTCTATCTATAAATCTCCCACTCGCCAAAAAACACTTTTCCACACTCGTAACGAAATATACTATTTTCTCATCGTGAGATACTGTGCGCTTGGTAATTGTCAAGCCCCGAATTTCTTGATCCAAGTAAACAAGTACTTCTCAAAAACCCCTTATTTTCTCATTCTCCGGTTCCCAATAATTTGCTTATTCCAGAGTAATCGACAACATCGAATTCCGTGTGAAAAAATTCCCCAGAACCTTCCGAAATCCGCGAAGATAATAACAAAATCAGAGTATGATTATTTTCGCACCCGTGCCCTCGACGGTTTGCAAACGAAAGAGGAGAAGGAGGCAGCGCTGCTGGAGGTGGAGAACGAGAGGGCGCGTCTGCTGGCTGAATCCATGGCCAGGAAGGAGGAGATAAGGCGGCTAGACCTGGCGAAGGGCCGGGACAAGCCCCTGAAGCTGGACGACCTCGAGGCCGAGGCGAGACGAAAAACAATGCATTTGCTGGAACGAGCCTACGACTTGAAACTGGAGCAGGAAGAGGAGATCCAGATGTGCAACAGGCTAATCCTCGAGACCAAGTGCCGAGCGATCCGGGACCTCCAGGTGTCGGAGAAGAAGATAATCGAGAGGGAGTTGAACGAGGAGGAGAAGCGGCTCAACCAGATGATGGAGAAAGAGCGCAAGCAGAAGTTGGAGGAAGAGGCCAGGAGGGACGAGCTGGAGATGGCCAGGAGGAGAAAATACGCTCGACTACTTCGCAATCAGATTTTGGAGAATGAGGAGCAGAAGATCATCGAGTTCGAGAGGAAGCAGGAGGAGGGAAAGCTCATAAACCTGAGCAATATCGCCTGGCAGGACGAGGAGATTGCCAAGGCGAGGAGGAAGGAGGAGGAGGCGGCGAGAGTTCGAAAACAACTGATCAGCGAAAATGAGAAACTCATGAGGTACAAGCAGATGGAGAGGGAGGAACAAAGGATATTGGATCTCAGGTGATGAAATATTTTATTCAGCTTTTCTTATCGGGATACAGATCGGTTTCATTTGACTGATGCAATTGTTAGACTGCCCCGTGGAAACATTTATATTATATTTTTAATAATATTTATTTTATAATGTTTTTCTTTGTTTTACAGCTATGTAGTCCTCCGCTCGTTAATAACTAGTTAACATCGGTTGTGCGGAAAAATTCAATTCAATTTTTTTAGCTCATAAATTTATATATTTATATATTTTTTATTTTTCTTCATATATGTCTCATACATATTTTATATAACTTTTACATACGTAAAATATGTGAGAGGGTGATGAGAATAATCTTGAGTCGTGATTTATCAAATTAATTATTTAATGAGTGGATTAACTTTTCCATATATACAATACGACGTTTACTCTTATTAGATAGGATAAGGAAGAAACGAGTTTGAGAGATTGGAATAATACGTCACGTCCGCTATCAGGTTGAGGCGCGTTTTAAACTTAGATTGAATTTAAATAGGTATTCACTCATCACAATATATAAATCAGGCCAATTCGATACATAAAATATATAATATATAATATTTATATTATTGAGGTTATTATATTATTATATAATTATATATTATATAATAATCACATAATAATTATATAATTATATATAATTATAAAATATATAATGATAATTATTATTATTATTATTATATATTATATAATATATAATTTCAGTGCAACATTATTGTCAAAGCAACAAAACTATTTTAATGGAAATTTTTTGTTGGAGATTTTTTTGACTGAATTTTTTTCGGAGAAAATTTTACTTTTCGAATGGTTTTCTTAGGCTTTGGGAGTATTATATAATATTTATATTATTGAGGTTATTATATTATTATATAATTATATATTATAATTATATAATAATCACATAATAATTATATAATTATATATAATTATAAAATATATAATAATAATAATTGTTATTATTATTATTATTATATATTATATAATATATAATTTCAGTGTAAATGAAATTCGCTTCTCCCCTGAAATTTTTATCCCCGAATAATCAGAATCAGCCGTATAAATAGTACAATTGCAATTATTTAGAATTCGTGAGTACCAGAAGAAGAAGGCGGAGCGCGAGGCAGCGCAGGCCGAAGAGCAGCGGCTGGCAAAGGCGCGCAAGGACCGAGAGAGATCTAGAATGGCAGCGCAGACACAACAAGCTACCGAATTACAGTCGCAAATCGACGAGTTGAATGCAGCGAGGGTTCAGGAGGAGGTGGAGCGCGAGTGGCGACGAAAGGAGAAAGAGGCAGCGCTGAAGAGATTGGAGACTCGAAAGGCGTTGGCGATGGCCCGAGAGGACCAGATCAAGTACAGGAAGATGCTGCAGGCGATGGAGATCGAGAGGGAGAGGAGGGAATTCCAGAAGATCCTGCAGTACCAGAAGGAGGCGATCTGCAGGGAGCAGGGGGAGAGGGAGGAGAGGCGGAAGGAGGCGCTCAATCATCGGACAATTATCCTTCAGCAGGTCAACGAGAAGGAGAGGGGGAAAAGAGAGATGAGGAGGAAAATGGTCGAGGAGGGAATGGCCATCCGGGCGGAGATGGAGATGAGGAAGAAGAGACTGAGGGAAGCTATGGAGAAGAAGTGCAAGGAGATGAGTGCTAATAACGTCCCGGAGGTGTACATCAATGAGGTCAAAGCTATGATCGATAAAGTCAAGTGAATTGGAAAGTCTTGGTTGCGTGAAAATTTTATTTGATGAGAAAATTGTACTTTTCAAGGGGCCCTCAGGCTTTGGGAATAAATTATCTCCACTGTCTCCTCAATCTGGCCGAATTTCAATGCACTCACATTCCCAGATTTGAATTCAATGATTGTATTTACAACGTCAAAGCAACAAAAGTATTTTAATGGAAATTTTTTGTTGGAGAATTTTTTGACTGAATTTTTTTCGGAGAAAATTGTACTTTTCGAATGGTTTCTTAGGCTTTGGGAGTAAATTATTTCCACAACATGACGACGTTGGGGTCCTTCTCCACTGTCTCCTCAATCTGGCCGAATTTCAATGCACTCACATTCCCAGATTTGAATTCAATGATTGTATTTACAACGTCAAAGCAACAAAAGTATTTTAATGGAAATTTTTTGTTGGAGATTTTTTTGACTGAATTTTTTTCGGAGAAAATTGTACTTTTCGAATGGTTTCTTAGGCTTTGGGAGTAAATTATTTCCACAACATGACGACGTTGGGGTCCTTCTCCACTGTCTCCTCAATCTGGCCGAATTTCAATGCACTCACATTCCCAGATTTGAATTCAATGATTGTATTTACAACGTCAAAGCAACAAAAGTATTTTAATGGAAATTTTTTGTTGGAGATTTTTTTGACTGAATTTTTTTCGGAGAAAATTGTACTTTTCGAATGGTTTCTTAGGCTTTGGGAGTAAATTATTTCCACAACATGACGACGTTGGGGTCCTTCTCCACTGTCTCCTCAATCTGGCCGAATTTCAATGCACTCACATTCCCAGATTTGAATTCAATGATTGTATTTACAACGTCAAAGCAACAAAAGTATTTTAATGGAAATTTTTTGTTGGAGATTTTTTTGACTGAATTTTTTTCGGAGAAAATTGTACTTTTCGAATGGTTTCTTAGGCTTTGGGAGTAAATTATTTCCACAACATGACGACGTTGGGGTCCTTCTCCACTGTCTCCTCAATCTGGGCTGCTGACTGTCCAGTTGTGCAGCAAATTTCGTCGAGACTGTAGGAACCCGTGAAGTATTTGTAGATTGAATCCGATCGGCAGTCGTCTTCCTCCTCCATTTCTCCACAGGTGCCTTTTATGTAGATGGGGTACTGGAATTATTTTATTTGTTTAGAATTGGGGGTGTTTTCTTTCTGGCCAGAATGGACTGGTAATTACCCTGTACACTCGGCGAATAAGGGCCTCGATCAATCCAAATTGAACTAGTCGTCTCTCGTTGATTCTCAAATTCTGGGGATTTAGACGTTGACACAGGTCCCTCATGCTTGTTCCGTGGGTCATACTCGCGTACATTCGATAGATATCTCTCAAATAAGCTGGCTGTCGTGCTGAAAATTATTCAATTAATCTTCAAATTGACAAATTATCAAATTAATCTTAGAGGAGCTATCTCTCATATAAAAAGGAGATGTCACACTTATTCCTGAATGTTCTGAAAGAGAAATCGCATGCATGATGATGATGCTCATTTGGTTGATGATGTTGATGATACTGATGATGCTGGTAAATACTATAATATATATAGTATAAATATTATGTTATATATCATATAATATAATATAATTTAACATATACATACTAAACTAAATATAAAAAAGAATTAAATTTCAGTATTCTAAATTGCAAATTTTCAACACTTTTTAAAAACAAATAATTCACAATCGTGCCTCAATTCATGATTTTGTTTGGGTTTTTTACCTACAGAGAATAATTTGGATTTTTCATAATAAATAAAATGCCTGTTCGCCGAAGCTTAATATTGCCACTTCATCACAAATGATTTAGAATTTGAATTGAAAATGATAATGTATACCTGATACTCATTCCCTTGGTAATTGGAAAAACGAGAAAACCCGTTCGTTCTTCGAGAGATTGGTAAATTTTCAGTCTTCAAAATTTCTCATCTCAAAATCGCAATTGTGTTTTTCCCTCGATTCGTGTGTGAACGTGGATAATCCAAATACCAATGATTCTTATGGAGTGAATATACTTTGGAAGAACCTAGTGGACTTCAACACAATCTCTACCACAATCATTAAAAAATTAAAAAATTAAAAAATTATGCAATTAATTATTCAATTAATCTTCAAATTAACAAATTATCAAATTAATCTTAGAGGAGCTATCTCTCATATAAAAAGGAGATGTCACACTTATTCCTGAATATTCTGAAAGAGAAATCGCATGCATGATGATCATGCTCATTTGGTTGATGATGTTGATGATACTGATGATGCTAGTAAATACTACAATATATATAGTATAAATATTATGTTATATATCATATAATATAATATAATCTGATATATACATACTAAGCTAAATATAAAAAAGAATTAAATTTCAGTATTCTAAATTGCAAATTTTCAACACTTTTTAAAAACAAATAATTCATAATGGTGCCTCAATTCATGATGATTTTGTTTTGGTTTTTCACCTACAGAGAATAATTTGGATTTTTCATAATAAATAAAATCCCTGTTCGGCCGAAGCTTAATATTGCCACTTCATCACAAATGATTTAGAATTTGAATTGAAAATGATAATGTATACCTGATACTCATTCCCTTGGTAATTGAAAAAACGAGAAAACCCGTTCGTTCTTCGAGAGATTGGTAAATTTTCAGTCTTCAAAATTTCTTATCTCAAAATCGCAATTGTGTTTTTCCCTCGATTCGTGTGTGAACGTGGATAATCCAAATACCAATGATTCTTATGGAGTGAATATACTTTGGAAGAACCTAGTGGACTTCAACATAATCTCTACCACAATCATTAACTCTTAATATTACTGGAAATTCATCGAAAACATCTATATCTCGGTTCTAACAATTCCTGAGGCACGTACGATAGAGAATAAAAAAATTATTCAATTAATTATTCAATTAATCTTCAAATTAACAAATTATCAAATTAATCTTAGAATCGTGCCTCAATTCATGATGATTTTGTTTTGGTTTTTCACCTACAGAGAATAATTTGGATTTTTCATAATAAATAAAATGCCTGTTCGACGAAGCTTAATATTGCCACTTCATCACAAATGATTTCGAATTTAAATTGGAAATGATAATGTATACCTGATACTCATTCCCTTGGTAATTGGAAAAACGAGAAAACCCGTTCGTTCTTCGAGAGATTGGTAAATTTTCAGTCTTCAAAATTTCTCATCTCAAAATCGCAATTGTGTTTTTCCCTCGATTCGTGTGTGAACGTGGATAATCCAAATACCAATGATTCTTATGGAGTGAATATACTTTGGAAGAACCTAGTGGACTTCAACACAATCTCTACCACAATCATTAAAAAATTAAAAAATTAAAAAATTATGCAATTAATTATTCAATTAATCTTCAAATTAACAAATTATCAAATTAATCTTAGAGGAGCTATCTCTCATATAAAAAGGAGATGTCACACTTATTCCTGAATATTCTGAAAGAGAAATCGCATGCATGATGATCATGCTCATTTGGTTGATGATGTTGATGATACTGATGATGCTAGTAAATACTACAATATATATAGTATAAATATTATGTTATATATCATATAATATAATATAATCTGATATATACATACTAAGCTAAATATAAAAAAGAATTAAATTTCAGTATTCTAAATTGCAAATTTTCAACACTTTTTAAAAACAAATAATTCATAATGGTGCCTCAATTCATGATGATTTTGTTTTGGTTTTTCACCTACAGAGAATAATTTGGATTTTTCATAATAAATAAAATGCCTGTTCGACGAAGCTTAATATTGCCACTTCATCACAAATGATTTCGAATTTAAATTGGAAATGATAATGTATACCTGATACTCATTCCCTTGGTAATTGGAAAAACGAGAAAACCCGTTCGTTCTTCGAGAGATTGGTAAATTTTCAGTCTTCAAAATTTCTCATCTCAAAATCGCAATTGTGTTTTTCCCTCGATTCGTGTGTGAACGTGGATAATCCAAATACCAATGATTCTTATGGAGTGAATATACTTTGGAAGAACCTAGTGGACTTCAACATAATCTCTACCACAATCATTAACTTTTAATATTACTGGAAATTCATCGAAAACATCTATATCTCGGTTCTAACAATTCCTGAGGCACGTACGATAGAGAATAAAAAAATTATTCAATTAATTATTCAATTAATCTTCAAATTAACAAATTATCAAATTAATCTTAGAATCGTGCCTCAATTCATGATGATTTTGTTTTGGTTTTTCACCTACAGAGAATAATTTGGATTTTTCATAATAAATAAAATCCCTGTTCGACCGAAGCTTAATATTGCCACTTCATCACAAATGATTTAGAATTTGAATTGAAAATGATAATGTATACCTGATACTCATTCCCTTGGTAATTGGAAAAACGAGAAAACCCGTTCGTTCTTCGAGAGATTGGTAAATTTTCAGTCTTCAAAATTTCTCATCTCAAAATCGCAATTGTGTTTTTCCCTCGATTCGTGTGTGAACGTGGATAATCCAAATACCAATGATTCTTATGGAGTGAATATACTTTGGAAGAACCTAGTGGACTTCAACATAATCTCTACCACAATCATTAACTCTTAATATTACTGGAAATCCATCGAAAACATCTATATCTCGGTTCTACCAATTCCCGAGGCACGTAAGGTAGAGAATAAAAAAATTCAACAACGTTTGGTTTCGATTTCCATAAAAAAATGAATTCTCACGTGATTTCGAGGCATAAGCGATGGACCTCTGCTGCAGCCCGTAGTCTTCAGCGAGTTCCTTCAGTTTAGGAGTCGTCGCGTAAACATTGCTGTATTGGAAAATGGGGATAAGAGTGACGACACCGTAATACACTAAATTTTGAACACAACTCTTGACCAAGTTGTTCTCGACGTCCGCCTCGGCTGCGATCCTGGCGACGTGGTTGAAGCCGTCGATGTAGGGGAGGACCTGTTGGGTCGTCAGATCCCACTGGTCACTGCAGTACGCCTCCTTGCCCTCCAGGAAGATTGGCACTTGGTGATCGAGCACTGGCTTGGGCTCGGCCGCCAGTCTCACGACCTTCAAGTGAGTTGTCATCGTTCCCTCGGTTAATATGCACATCTTGTGGGTATTCAGGTCGTTCATCACCTGTCGGAGCATCTCGGAGAGGCGGCATTTGTCCTCTGAGACTGAGGAGAGAAAACAATTCTCGACTTCTAATGCCATCTGATGACAATATAAACGTGGAATGGGTCGGTGAATTAACGGGGGTCGGTGGCTGGCACGTGCTGAGGGAATTTATTTACCAGAAAATCAGACATTTTTTTGACGACTGGCTCGTAGTGAACGGTCCTCGCTTCTGCGTCGCACACGAAGCAGAGGTTGAAGTAGAATGCGTTTCTTGCGTATTTTTTGTCGTCTATTTTCACTGGAAAGCCCAGGATTTTACAATCTCTCAGAGTCCTGCGTGAAGAAATTCGGTCTTAGGTAATGGGGAGATTACGACTCCTCTGGAGCTGATATTTGACATATTTTCCGCACCATTTTTAGGAATACGGGGCAAATGGGGAAAACATTCCCTGGGAATTCAGCAGTGAAGGGTAACGGTTTAAGTCGACTCATCGCCCAGTTGAGTTTTGGTGGAATATCTCAGAATCTAAGGGAGATAGCGAAATTTTCGTCATCATGTTTTTTGTAGCACTCAATCGGCTCCACAGAAAAGGTTATAACGAAAATTTTGCTATCTCCCTTAGATTCCGAGATATTCATTGAAAACTGGTCAATGGTCAAAATTGACTCATCTTCTTTTACTACTTCAGTACTGAATTAGTTTTTGGGACATAAGCATTTCAAAAATTCGTATTGGTACTTGACATACCAATTCGTGCACTCACATTCCCACATTTGAATTCAATGATTATATTTACAACATCAAAACAACAAAACTCAATTTTAATGGGAATTTTTTGTTGGAGATTTTTGATTGAATTTTGTTTCCGAAAAAATTGCAACAGTCGCAAAAATTCAGTCAACAAAATCTGCAGCAAAAGAATTTCCAGTCAAAAACGCATTCGACCAAGGCAGTGTCATTGAGAAAAAAATTAGAGATTGAGTTGTCTGCAATTTTTTTCAGTTTTCAATAACCTTTGAGTTTACCGTAAGGGTAGAGCTACTCTAAGGAAATGGTGAAATATTAATTTAAAAAATTACAATCACTCACACGGTGATTGTGCTCCTCTGCAGTTGAGCCTTCGGGATAATGTAAACCGAGACATTATCGAAAATGTCTTTGGAAACATAGTTGTCAGGCACCTGTCAAGAGAGAATATTGAAAATTCGTCAGTAGCTCGCCTTCGAACCAAACGAACCTGACAGGTGATTTTGGGCCCAGCTATGTGATGAAACTCGGAGAAGAAGATGCACCTGATGGCACTCTTGTCCTCCCTGGAGTCCTCAGAGTAGCTCCCACTCGCCAGCATCTCCTCGTGTTCCCCATGTGTCATTAGCTCGACGTGTCACCCCCCGAGCCCTCTCAATTCTTCTTCTATTTTTATGGCACTGACTGAAATGTCTTGCGGCCGTTATGGAGATTATAAATTAGGAGAAATGTGTTTGTCAATGTTTTTGAGGAAGTTGTAAATTACGTAGGCTATTTTAGGGGAGGGTGAGGTTATTAATTTGTTGATGTTAGGGGAGGGTGGGGTAAAACGGACACTAGACTGTTTTTAAATTATTCATAACTCAGAAACAAATTGATCAATTGAGCTCAGCTTAGGCTCATCACAAAGGGAAAGAATTGTTCTTTGTATTAAAAAAAAAAAAGATTAAAATTCATCAACATTTCGACCCGTCACTAATATTTTTGAAAAAGTCAAAAGTGTCCATTTTACCCCAACGTCCCCTAATTCCATAATTTGATGAATAAAATGAGAGGAAGACTTTAGGGGGGAGAAATTACTCTCAATTCTCCCTGAACTAACCTCAAATGCCCCCTCCCTGGCGCTCCTTTTTTGGCACTTCGAGCTCAGCCCTGACCTTGAGTCCCCCTCCCCCCAGTCCTGAGTGATGTAAACAATCAGGGGAGGTATTGTGTGTTTTGAACCTGATTTCCGAGAATTTCGGTTTCCCCCGTCGGTCAGCAAGGTCAGTGCACAACAAATACTCGGACTCGGAAAATCCATGCAACAGTGCCTTTACGAAAATACAGTTATAGCTCGTTACATCATCACTGCGCTGGATGATAAGGCCGGATTTTTCGGAGTAGCTGGTCAAGTGCGTTTTAAGCGAAGGTTCGAGGGGATAACAATTCGTTGGGGCACAATGACGATTAGTGTTCACTGGCCAGCGCTTGCCGGGGTCATTCACCCGAATATTGGGGGGTGGGCGGGGGCTGTCATCACGAGGAGAAATATCAACCCCTGGTATGAGGTGAGGAGGCTAAAGTATTTCGGTGGGGACACTGAACCTCCTTAAGGGGTTTAATTTACCTCAGGGCCACCAATTTGAGAGAAATTTTTGAACAAATTTTTTGACTGAAAGTTGTCGATTTTTTTACTAAATGAGCGCAGTAATCGATGTTAATAACTCAGGAATAACAATGGTAATAAAAAATGTTGATAGGGGAGGCTGGGGCAAAACGGACAAATGTTGAAATGTTGATAAAATTTAATAATTGTTTTTTCAATGCAAAGAACAATTCTTCCCCTTTGTAACGAGCCTAAACTGAGCTCAATTGATCAAACTGAGCTCGAGTCTTCAAACGATTTAAATCGATTTTGGGTATTGGCCAGTTTTCAATGAATATCTCGGAATCTAAGGGAGATAGCAAAATTTTTCTCATGACCTTTTTAGTAGCTCTCAATTCCCTCTACAAAAAAGGTTATTATGAAAATTTCGCTATCTCGCTTAAATTTGGAAATATTTCGGGAAAACTCAACTGAAGACCAAATTGACTTGAACAGTTTGGCCACTTCGCTACTGAATTGTTGTTTATTTTATTTTTATGGGGTAGTCCCTGAAGAAACCATCGTGGACACCTCCCAAGTGGGCCTTTGGACCCGCCTGGACTTCGATCTACTGCTCTGTAGGGTACGCCTCGTACCTCGTTTACCGTGATGGAGGTGGTTTCGAGGGCGCAGCCCTCCCGTTGTCCATTTACGGGGCTAATCTTGCCCTCAACTGGGCGTGGACACCCATTTTCTTCGGATGCCACAACATCAAAATCGTAAGTGAATGATTCCAGTGAGGGACGACCACTCATATTGAACAAAGTTCAATTATACTTATCGAAATTTAAAATATTATAAAATTTAATAACTAAATTTTTCAATTAATGGTAATATTGAAATGTAAATTTTTCATTAACAAGTTAATCCTAAATTTTAAGTGTTGATTTTCGATTATCCAAATAATCTATCAATCCAATCTAATCAATTTAATATCAAACAATCCAATAACCTAAATTATTGAGTAATAAAATGATTCAAAATTTGAATTGACAAATCGATAATTAATTTAATATTTAAATTTTGCTTGAAATTCATCTCAACAATAGACAACTTCATAATTTAACGGCAATTATAATTGATGAATATGGCCATCTCTGATTTCAAGTCGACCCATCTCCCAGTTGAGTTTTCGGAAAATATTTCCGAATCTAAGCGAGATAGCGAAATGATCACCATAACCTTTTTTGTAGAGCGAACCGAGAGCTGCAAAAAAGGTTCAAACAAAAATGTTGCTATCTGGCTTAGACTCCGAGATATTCGCTGAAAACTGGCCAACTGATTTGTCATTAAGGCATGTGAATGTGATAAGACGACGCTCTTTCCAGCTCTCGTTCGTTCCCCAAAAATCCCTCCAAAATTAGTCACTTCGATATTTCTCCTAGGCCCTCTGCGAGATTGTGGTCCTCTGGGGGTCGACCGTGGCCCTGGCAGTGGCATTTCACCAGGTGAATCCAGTCGCCGGTTACCTCGTCCTCCCCTACATCGCCTGGACCACCTTCGCAACTGCGCTGAACTACGTCATCTATCGCGACAATAAAGAGACACCAGCCATCGAGGATAAGAAGAACTGAATAATCAAAGTGCCTTGAAAATGCTTCTCAATTTTGATTCACTTCACACATTCCGACTTCAAAAAATACTAATGGTTGAGAGTTTCTGCTAGATATTTTTTAGCACAATTTTACGAGCCAATATTCATAGTATACACATGTTTATTACTTTATATGAAATAAAGATTGATAAATCACGGTTACATTACATTATTTATATAGATCATTTGTTTTTTTTTCATGTAAATAAATCGAAGGATAACCATCACTCATCTCTCATCACTCTCCCCTGATATACTTTTGCTTGTTTGCTCGTTGATCCTTCTTATTGCATCGCCCATTCACTTATTTATGGTTTGGATACAGTTAAACAGTGGATCGATTATTTGATCCTACGGGTTTACTCTCGTTTTTACAAGCGTTACGTGGGATCTGTTGCGTATATGTATCCCTGCTGTTGGAGGACGTACAGTCGTTTCTCCACTGCCGATTTATCTGTGACAAAATCATTAATAATTACCAAGTGATGAGTAATTTTTGTTATCAAGGAAATAATGTCTCGATGATGTCTTACATTTTATGAGCAAAGCCCTGTCTTGACTGTGGCTGACGTGCTGCGATAATGAGTGCAGGAGAATCTGGGCGGTGTGATAACGCTGGAAACATTCAGCTGGATTGCCAAATAGCTCGTCTAGGGCTGCTGATTGACACTGAAATGAATTTTATAACAGAATGAATCGTTATTTTTATTTTCTTGCTGATCATCTCTCCCCGCATTTTCCTCATTTCCTCTCAATGAAATCAGATCATGAAAACGAAAAATTTCATTTTCATGATCTGATTTTATCGAGAGGAATTATTATATTATACTGATATTATTTAACATAAATCTCTTCATTTGAAAATGAGAAAAACTGTTCCCACAATTTGTATACTACAATGAGAATAGAATCCAATAAATTTAGTGTAATCTAACCGCAAAGACAAATTGGAAAGAAAACAATAAAATAAATTAATAGAATATAATAATATATATAATATTATTTTATTCTTTATATTATTATATAATTTATATATATAAATAATATAATAACATAATAATATATACATTTTTTTTAAATGGGAATTAATTTTTTTCCACTAATCATTCATTTTTCTACATATATAATCGATCATCAATGCACGAAGAATGGCATTAAAATAGCCCACGACTTTAAAAACTCACAGTAGTCGCCCCTCAAATTCCTTCAAATTGAGTAGACGTTAATTATTACCATTTGTATCGCATGATTGTAGAGTATTTTATCAGCAGTGGCGCCAGTTTGTCTCAACAATCCGGCGCTGTTGAGTTGTTTGCACTCGGCGAGACAGGATCTAAATTTATCATTCATGGTGCTAACGACCTCTTTGACACTGGCTGTTGGCTGCAGCCTCCCAGCCTTCAGTTGCTGGGTGGCTAGACTCAGGCCAGAGCTCAACCACTGGAGGGCCCTAACCAGCAGTATCACCTGTTCTGCCCTTCTCTTAGTGGCCGCATTGCTCGCCTGCTCCAGTCCACCCAGTGGAGCGCCAAGGGGACCAGCGCGGGTTCTCGCCACCTCCGAGACACAATCGCAGAGGGCAACAACGAAATTCAACTTGGCGAGGATCTCGTTGTGCTCACGCTCCAGGAGGGTCTCCTCTGGGAGCTCTGGGGCGATGAACGTCAAGGGGCGGTCGTCCGAGGAACCCGCGTTTAGCTCCGGAAAGAAACTCTGAAAACTTCCAGCTTCTGAGGAATTTAAAAAAAAATTGAAAATATTTGACGCTTTTTTCAGGATTTTTTTATGAGGATTTGATTCTTAATGAGGAGCTTTACGAAGGAAAGTCAGAAAAGCTTTGGGATTAAGACCCCGGTGTACTATCTTTCGAATGTTATCTGGATTTTTTTAATCTTTCGTAATCCAAAATTGTCAATTGAGAGGTACATCATGTAGAAATTCCCAAAAAATATGATAGAATAGTGAAAAAAATGGAAAAAATTCTGAACTTTTTCAAAGAGCATTTTTAATTGAGATTCAGAATGAGTTGAAAATGTGGAAATTACAAATATCTGATTCGCTGTGGCAAATTATCTATTAACTGTCATTTTCCCTGGTGAATAACAAAACAGACGAAGGATGAAAAAACCCATCGAGATGACGTTCGAAAGATAGTACACCCGAGCCTTAATAAATACAAAAAAAAAAAAAAATGACCTGATATCTCCGGAAGTGTGATAGCCCTCGTTCCAAAGGGAATGACGGGCGAGTGCCTCAGCGTATTATTATTATCCTGAAGAGCCCTAGCAGTGGGTGACCCCAGCACGGCAAGAGGGCCAGTGAGTAGTGGTGAGCTGGCGCTATTATTAACCGAGGACCTCCTCAGTGGCGAAGCCCCCGAGGACAGCTGCGAGTGCCTGGCGACAGGACTGACCTGCCAGGTGTTGGGAGGTGGTGGAGTTTCGCTGAGCCGTCTCCCAGGAGGAGTTCCAATGACAAACTGGACACTTGGAGGACTCAGTGATCCGATATCCACCGATGGATTCCGGTGTGAATCGACACTCCTCTTCATGCTGATGGGCTGCGACCTGGGGACCACTGAGCTCGCCCCACGCCCTGGCGACGACGACTGCACACTGGTTCGCTGGCTTGGCACTGGTATGGGTTCAGAGATGGGTAGGAAGCAGGGCCTCGGCGGTGAGACAGCCTCTCTACTCGTCTGCTTCGTGTACTTCACCTGGGGATTGGGATTATTATCTGTATCGCTGCTTAAATCACTTGGAACGAGGACAAAGTCGTCTTCGGGGCTGGAGCAGGGGCTGTGGGTCTCCGGGCCTGACAGGGCCACTGTCCCTGCGATCTGGGGCTCAACAGTCTCCGGAGATGCTGGCAACTCCACTGGCACCAGGCTCGGGCTCTCTCGGGGGCCTTGGAGGAAAGAATGGGTGAAGAACTCCTCGAATGACATTCTGTCCCTCGCGTTTCGCCTCAGGAGACCCATCAGCAGGTGCGACAACTCTGGGGATGTGCCTGGGGGAATCTTCGGACTCAAATTTGCGTTCTTCTCGTAGAATAACTTCAGGGCTTGAGGGGTGTGAGCTTGGAAAGGCGCTTTTCCTGTTAGACATTGGAATACTATTGTGCCTAGGGACCAGAGGTCCGCTTTTGCGTCGTACTGGATTGACATTATCACCTCCGGCGCCATGTACATCGGGGAGCCACACAGGGTCGCTGCCATTACACCGTCCTGGAGGAATCTGGCGAAGCCGAAATCCGCTGAAATTTTTTGGCTCGTTTTAGGCGTTTTTTTTTTCATGGGCGAGGAAAATTCTGTCATTTTTTCGGCTGACGGCAGAACATGTAAAACTAAGTTTTCTGATGCTAAAGACAATTAGTCGCAAGCCTCGGCAGAAATGGATAAACTCATTTTTCGTTGTGCACGGGGTTTTGTGAAATTTATGTTCAAATTGATAAGTCACCTACTAGAAGACTCTAAGAATTCCTTTAAGAAAAAATCTAACGTAATGTTTTTTGAAGCCAATATATTCTGCCTAATCGTTCTTTCTTTAGCATTATACTATCATATAATATATTTATAAAAAAAATTTTATCGTTTTTTCTCCAATTTTGATATAATAAATAACATAAAATTGATTATTCATCAAATTAAATTTAAGTAAATAAAATATAAATACTATATTATATATAATATTATATTATATATTAGACATTATAATATATAATATAATATAATATAATGTAATATAATATATAAATACTAAACTAAATAGAAAAAATGATTAAATTTCAGTATTCTAAATTGCAAATTTTCAACAATATTTTTAAAAACAAATAATTCACAATCGTGCCTCAATTCATGATAATTTTGTTTTGGTTTTTACCTAGAGAATAATTTGGATTTTTCATATTAAATAAAATCCCTGTTCGACCGAAGTTTAATATTGCCACTTCATCACGAATGATTTAGAGTTTGAATTGAAAATGATAATGCATACCTGATACTCATTCCCTTGGTAATTGAAAAAACGAAAAAACCCGTTGGTTCTTCGAGAGATCGGTAAATTTTCTGTCTTCAAAATTTCTTATCTCAATGGATTCTTATCTCAGTGGATAATCCAAATACCAATGATTCTTATGGAGTGAATATACTTTGGAAGAACCTAATGGACTTCAACATAATCTCTACCACAATCACATTAACTTTTAATATCAGTGGAAATTCATCGAAAGCATCTATATCTCGGTTCTACCAATTCCTGAGGCACGTAAGGTAGAGAATACGTAGGCGGCCTAATCTAGTAGAAATAAAAATGGAAGGTAATGTGAAGGTAACATGAAAAATCCAGACGTTCCCATAGAGTCAATATTTCCTATAGAATGAAAATACTGAAAAGGTGTTTTACCTATTTTTAGGGTGATTTGGTGAGGCTGGGGACATGCCTTTCCACAATTGTGGCTCAGCAGAATATTCTGGGGCTTCAGATCTCTGTGAACAACTCCTTTGTCGTTGAGGGCCCTCATGGCTCCTGCCAGCTGCTTCAGGAACACCCGGATTGTGTCCTCTGACAGGGTACCTTTAGCTGGAATTGATGAGACAATTTATTTTTCAATTTTTGCTGAGCGGTTTCGAGGATTCTGGAGAGATTGAGGACTCACCGCCAAGGTAATCAGCCAGATCACCTCCATTGCAGTACTCCATGACCAGGAAGACATTATGATTTGATTCCTGTTGAAGAAAAAATTCTCATGACTTTATTTATCTTTATTCGCACAATTTTATTCGGTTTTACCCGACGTAAAAATACTCTTTACGCATCAAATATGAACTCGTTGATCTTGAAATTTTTTTATTGTTTCTGTGACTCACCTTGCAGTCCAGTAGTGCGACGACATTCTCGTGATGGAGTTCTGTTAATTCCTGAATAAATAATTCAACATTTGAATTAACAAACAATTCAATTTAAAAAAATTGAGGGTGTGGATGATTACTCAATGTTTAAATAGTACCTTCAGAATTTTAATTTCCTTTCCAAGTAAATTCTGGGATTTGGCCAGACTCTTCTTCGTGATGCTCTTGATGGCAACGATGAAATTGGCTTTCTGAAACGATGAATGAAGTGATAAATTTGGGGAAAAAAAATTACGAGAATCTTGATTCACGTTTGTCCAGGTGTTATCACTAGTTAGAAAAATCTATTGAATATCTGTTGAACTGTTCTATCAGTTTTCGGCCGATTCTGTCGAAATGTTCAATAGAAAATATTCCGTAAAAAAAGTCAATAAAATCCAATTTCTCTACATAACTTATTCTATTGAGATATTTTCTGTAGAATTTCCTCGGCTCAAATTTTCCCAGTTTTTTCGTTTGATTTTCTTGATGAGAAGAAAAGAAAAATAGAATGAATAAATCTTAGAAAATTTGAGTCGCGCAAATTCTATAGAAAATATACGAAAACAATAAGTTACATAGAAAAATCGAATTCTGTTGACTTTTCCTACTGAACATGTCAACAGAATCAGTCAAAAACCAATAGAAAGTTTAATAGAAATTCAATAAAATTTTCCAACGAATTCGACATGTTTTTCTATTAAATTTTTTCGTGCGTGTCGGTGTGATCAATCCTCAAAACAAATAAAATAAAAAATGGTACAAACTTTTCTGTGTCTCCCCTTGAAGACAACGGCAAAAGCCCCATGTCCAATGAGATCCTTGGTGTTGTACTCGTAATCCCCAACAGTCTCCATGATTCACATTAAAATCCCCGAACCAATAAACAACCGAAAATACTCCCCTTCCAGGGCTATCGAGAGGTCAAAAGTTTACAAACACGCTGCCACCACCGAGAGCATCATCGTGGGGATCAATACGAAGGATAAAACCCCGTGGCTTGAATTTCCGTCTCCATTAGTCCACAGTAAAAAAACTAATAAAAAAAATAAACAACAATTGAAGTACTTTGGGGGCTACATTTTGTTGGACTGCGGTTAGAGAGTCACTCGTTCACTCGTCGTATCCATCTTGATTATTCAACTGTTCTTTACAAAAAATGGTAATGAAAAATACTGAAACGCAACACAACGGGGCCAAGCGACTGATGGAGAACTCGTAACGGAGTCGAGTCGCAAAATGTCAGGCGCATGATTCCTGTTGAGGGAATGGAGTGACGGCGCGAGGGGGAGGGGTAACGTGTGCATGCGCAGTCAGCTGTGTTTGAAGTAGAACGGAGTGAGGAATTTTTTTCTCCGAAAAGTAGACCGAGCTCTCGTTTTTAGGTTAAAAGTCGTTGTTTTGTGTTTGTTATTTCGAGGCCGATAAATTTTTCCAGTTGGGGTTGGGGCTGAGATGAGGAACTACAAGAGGAAGACTGATAGGCAGAGCTGGAGCTCGACGGATATGGCACAGGCCATTGCTATGGTTGTGGAGAAGAAATTGGGGATTAATAAGGCTGCACAGTTATTCAGTGTGCCCAGTACCACTCTGCAGAATCGAGTTAAGAAGTATCAGAGTGGGTGCTCGCTGGAGGAAGCTGCTAAGAAAGGTAGAGATGATTGGTGATTGATTTTTTGGGGTTTTGGGGGGTTGTGAGGAGAGTTGGGTCGGCTGAATTTGGCCATTTGGTTGGGAGGTGTTTGGGGTTGAAGAACGCCCTGTAATTCCCATTTTTTTCGCTAAAGATCCCTTAAAATTGTCATCTATTTCAGTAGCGAAGGGGCAGAAGGGAGTAGGGGAGGGTGGGGTAAAATGGACACGACTTTTTTAAAAATATTCATAACTCGGAAACAGATTTATCAATTGAGCTCAGTCTAAGCTCATCACAAAGAGGAATCATTGTTTTTCAATTGAAAAATAAAATTATTCCATTTCACTAATAATTCAACACGTCATGAATATTTCAAAAAAAGTGAAAAGGGTCCGTTTTACCCCACCCTCCCCTATCAATAGAGCTCAGTTTAGGCTCATCAGAAAGGGAAAGAATTGTCCTTTGTACTGAAAAAAAGAGATTAACCAGTTTTCAACAAATATCTCGGAATCAAAGGGAGGTAGCAAAATTTTCGTGATAACCTTTTTTATAGAGTCGATTGAGAGCTACAACAAATGTAATTACGAAAATTTCGCTATGTCCATTAGATTCGGAAATATTCCTCAACAACTCAACTGGGAGATGAGTCGACTTAAATAGGTTTACCACTTCGCTACTGATTTCTAAAAAGAACTATAACAGTCTCCCCAAATGCACGTCAAACCAAAGTTCAGCGGGGGCTTCCGTTACCCCTTAAATTCCAATAAAAAATTTCAGGTTTGGGAAAATTCAAAGCGATATTCACCGAGCAGCAGGAGAAATGCCTCGTGGAGTACATTCAGCAGGTCCAGAAAACCAACACCGAGAAGTTCACAACAAAGGACCTGAGGAAGCTGGCGTACCAGCTCGCAGAGAAGTGCAACGTCCAGCACAAATTCAACGCAGAGGACGGCATGGCGGGACTGGACTGGTACACTGGCTTCATGAAGAGGCACCCCGAGCTGTCATTTCGCAAGCCCAAGAGCTCCGAGGACTACCCGGACCATCACGACTGCCTCGAGATCATCCTGGAGGAGCCCGAGATCAAAACCGAACCTGCAGACCCACCCAAATCTTCCACATAACACAGATAAACCCCTATCGAGAATCTTCAACGGTTTAGGATTAAGAGATTCATATAATACATTATTATTTTCATTATCTATCGTGTATTCTATGCATTAAGTCTTCAGTATTATTCAGTTATCCATGATTATGTGGGGTCGTTTTTTTTATTTATTGACACGAGGATTCATTAGGCAATTGAACTGACGTGAATTTGAAATAAAGCAGAATAAGTGGAATATTTTTCTCAATTTTTTCTTTTTAGTCCCTTTATTAATTTTATTTAATCCATTGAATCCCGTTAAATTTTGCACTCCTCACACTGCATTTGAGTGGATTTTACAGAAGAGAAAGAGAAAATTATGAAAATGTGGAAACGAGAATTTGAACAGACGTGCAATATATTTTTCCTCAATTTCTCTTTCCATTCCCTTTTCCTCGGAATAAATTTAATATGAGGGACGTGAACATTTTATTCAGGTAATTCCCTGGAACAAAAAAAAGTAATGAAACCTTTCTTTAAAATGCCAAAGGGTCCACGAACATAAAAACGAGAAAATTTTCAGGCAATGTCATAAAACTCTGAATAAACATGAATAATTCTCAAAACATCACCCCTCAATAGTGATTTCTTCGCGTTAAATAGTTCAGAAAATTTCCATCCAATAATTCCGTAGCGAAGCGATAAACCAGTTTGTCGACTTAGCTCGTCGCTGAGTTTTCGAGGAATATCTCCGAATCTAAGAGAAATACCGGAATTTTCATTATAACCTTTTTCGTAGAGCGAATTAAGAGCTATAAAAAAGGTTATTACAAAAAAATTGCTATCTTCCTTAGGTTCCGAGATAATCATGAAAAACTGACCGATAGTCTAAATCGACTTGAACCTGTTCACCGCTTCGCTACTGAATTGGATTCGAATTTCACCGCCGAATTACGTCATCCGCGCTTCATTGCTCACTTCACTCGAGTCGTTAGCAGGGAATCGCTCCGAAGGCATTTTGGAGTGGACCGTAATTAATTAATTAATCAAAGTGGTGTAAAGGGGGCAGTGAACAGTCGGTTGAGGAAATAGGGCTGGGATTGTTAAGAGTTCATGGGCTAGTGATTCAATACGAATTGAGGGTCAATAAGGAAGTGTCGGGGCTCTTGGGGCTTGACTAGGGGCACCATGGACTCCATTCCACGAACACACGAAGGTAATTCCACATATTTCCCCGTTCAATCGGTCTGTCGAGGCTCTTGACAATAAAAATCTTCGACAATTTCTGGGGAAAATAATTTACGGGGGAGAATTGTCGGGGATGATTACGCGGTGGTGACGATTCCTGGATGTTCGAAGGTTTGAGGTTATGTTGGGGCAGAGTTGCATCGCTTGGGCTGCCCCAGCCACGTATTTTGCAATGATTATCGAGGATTTTTCTTTTTTTTTCAAGATATTGAAGCCCAGATCAGGGAGATACAGTCGAAGAAGAAGGAGATCCAGAGTGCGACGACTGAGAAGGAGCAGGTGGGCCTCGGGAAGACTGGGTTCTATGATCAGGACATTTACGATGGGACTAACAACAAATATGATGGATATGTCACGTCTATTGCTGCCAACGATGAGATTGAGGTAATTGCTCTGGAGGATTTGTTTTTTAAGGGGAGACTGGGAGTTTTAAGTCATGGGATATGGAGTGATATTTCTCATGCATTGAAAATCCATCAGGGGAGAGTGGGGTAAATGGACATTTTTACTGTTTTTTAAATGTTCGTGACGTGTTGAATAATTGATCAAATGGAATAATCTTATGTTTCAGTTGAAAGTAGAATTATTCTCCCTCGTGATGCACCTCAACTGAGCTTAATTCATAAATCTCTTTCTGAGTTATGGATATTTCTATAAAAAATCGAAAGTGTCCATTTTACCCCGCTCTCTCCTATGTATGTCTAAAAATGAATAATTAGTGCAAACTAATTAATTGTTTATTGCTCGTTAGCTCAATTTTTGAACTACAGAGGGTTTTTTTTTATTTTTGAAAAAATGTGTGCAATAACAATTACGAATTAGTTTTATGAAGTTCGACTCCTACACTAGCTAATTTCGATTGTTTAATATAAAAATTTGCGCAATTCATGTAAAATAGGCAGAAAAATTATCCTTGAAATATTCAAAATCTATTCTCGATTCTTTCAGAAGTATTTTTCGGACTATTTTGCATGAATCGTGCAATTTTTTATTAAAATGATAACGAAATTAGCTGTGTGGGAGTTGAATTTCAAAAAACTTATTCGCAATTGTTATTGCATATATTTTTCAAAAAAAAATACCTTTGTAGCTCAAAAATTGGGGGTCCTGGACTGTTTTTAACATTTTAAACGTTTGCGGGGTAATCGAACAATAAACAATTAGTTTTTTTGCGCTAATTATTAGTTTTTAGACATATATAATCGATAAACTTATAGTAGTCTCGCCTTAATCGATTTTCATTTAATGAGAACGATTAATTGATGAACTGCGATGATTCTAGGACGAAGACTATGAGCCAACAACATTCTCAACCAAACAGAGGTCTGGGTACACAGCCCCTGCAGCACTCCTCAACGATGTTGCACAGGTAAATTTACATTTCTAGCATTTGTTACTTTTCATTTCATTTTTATTTTTTCTCCACGCTTCATACTTTATTTAATTGATCCCATTAAATTGAACTATTCAATGATTTTGCTCTTCCATTCAATCGAGAGCCATATCTTTATCATTGATACTCAATTGGAATTAATTTTAGTTTTAACAATGAAAAATAGATGAATTATCTCGCATTCTCTCTGACCTAAATGACCTTTTCCCCGTAATTTCAGAGTGAAAAAGAATACGATCCGTTTGCAGACAGACGTAGACCAACGATAGCAGACCGAGAAGACGAGTATCGTCAGAAACGTCGACGTATGATCATATCGCCCGAGCGAGTTGATCCATTTGCCGAAGGTTTGTTATTGATTCCCAACTAACTTAATTCACTATCCATTAATCTAGTCTTAAGTGAGTCTATTAGACAAGATCAATCATCAATGCAAGAATGTACAGAACTAACAGTTATCAAAATTCTCATAACGATAAATTCTTGCATTTTTTTTTGGGATGAATGGACGTTTGGAACGAATGGGCGTGTGTCTGTGACGAAATATTTAGTTTTCAAAGTTTATACTAATGTATGAAATTTGTTTTCCAATCTTAGTGACGGTCTGCACATTTGGAATCATCCGCTTTCCCAGGATACCTATGTCCAAGGTTAAAAAAAAAATAAAGATTCACGCGATGCAAGTGTTTGATTGCAACTGAGACGAGACATTTTCCGTTCGTTTTAATTACTTTCGATTCTAATTGATGAAATTTTGTAAATGTCTGGGTCTCGTGTCAATACTTTGCATAAACATCATTTATTTCTCTTTGTTTCAATATTTAATACAGAATTACTAGTATGAGTGGTTTATGAATGATGTGAAAGACAAATTAATATTAACGAGAAATGAGTTGATTTTTAGATGGCATTTGAATAAAATACGTGGAAGAGATGTGAGCAGGACATAATGTGATCCCTGTGCGACCAATAAGAAACCCCATCACGTACGTATTTATAATGTGCCCTACTGGCTACTGCTGCAGCTCTTTATCTTCCACTCAAGTCTCGGAATTATTTCAACTGTTGTTAATACGTTTTGGTAGAATTTTTTATGGCTTGAGAGGGAGAGGGGGGGCCAATTCAGTAGCCTGCCTCAAGCATCAGGAAGACGAATTAAAGGGCATTTGAATAATTAAAATCGAATGATTAGGGACTCAATTTCATTTTTTTCTATAACGAAGAGATTTTTTATTATCGTTAGGGAATTCATGACTAATTGTTGCGCTTCGCGTGACTTTTGATTGGTGGTTACAGGTGGAAAAACACCGGACATTGGGTCTAGGACGTACACCGAGATTATGCGAGAGCAGTTGCTCAAAGGAGAAGAGACTGAGGTGAGTGAAACATATTCAAGGGTTTGGAAATTTTTTGAAGTAGTCAGTGAGGTTGAAATACCCATGATTTTCATTTTCTGTTTTAGTTGAGAAAGAAAATCGCAGAGAAAGCTAAAGATGGCACTCTCAAGGCAAACGGCGAGCCAAAACCAGCCCCTAAGAAACGAGGTAGATGGGATCAGACTGAGGATGCACCGGCTGTGAAAAAACCTGCTGGAACAGTCGCCACACCGACTTCTTGGGATAATGCAGATGTAGGTTCAAGGGAAATTGAAGGGAATGCATTTAACATTTTTCTCATTTTTATTATTTCTTTTTGCTTCCGGATGGAAGCCTTGTATTTGAGCGATTTTTAGATTGTCTAATTTTGAGGGCGAATGGTCTAGAATGTTATCAAACGTGAAGAAATGATGTTTTTAGGGTTTTTGGTGATCAATTTTTAGAAAATTTAACATTAATACGGTGAAATTTGTCGATAAAAGTCGGAAATTTTGGTTCATGGTAGCTATTATTAAGCTTCACTTTGGTGCGCAGTTTCAGCCCGATCGGTCCAGTAGTTCCTGAGATATAACAACTTCTTTAAATTTCGTTTTTCCTCAATATCTCAAAATCTGCTCCACCGATTTCATTTTTTTTTATTTCAAAATACTCGTCTCGATGGCCTCTATCTAGATCAATCAAAATATATATACCCGTTCAGACAAAATTTGAAGATATCGCCGTTTTTCGGTTTTTCATGAAAAATTTTGTTTACACGATAACTTAATAAAAAAATGGAGACAGCAAGTTGAAATTTTGCATGCTTCTAGCTTTTATAACATAAAAAGTTGGTATTGTGGATGAGCGCAATCGACCGAGCGGTTCTTGAGATATTCAACCTTTTGTGTAAATATATTTCTTCAAATATCTCATGAACTACTGAACGGATTTCAATTTTTTTTTTCAAAATACTTGTCCCGGTGGCCACTATCTAGATCAATCAAAATATGTATACCCGTCCATCCAAAGGTTCAGAGATATTCCCGTCTTTTCGTTTTTCAAATTTTTTCATTCTTGCACGCACGATATTTTGAGAAAAACTGAAAATAGCAGGTTGAAATTTAGTGTGATTATATCTCTCGCAATATTGAAGATTCGTATTTTGGACAGGCGCAATCGGCCGAGCAGTTTCTGAGATATTTAACCTTTTGTATAAATCTATTTCCTTAAAAGCTTGAATATCTTCCTGTGGACCCCCTGTAGCACGTGGTGACGGTTGTATGCCTGTCCCAAGGACCAGTCATTCCTTACGGATGCATTCGAAAGCTCACTCCCAATGAAATCGGTAGAAACGAAAAAAAAGAAAAGGACTAATAACGCAAAAACTAGCAGTCACATCTGTAGTGAATTGGTAAACTAGGATAAGTGCATTTCAACTGAGGACAGTTATCAAGCGATATCTCGTAAATAAAAACAGATATCGAAATTTTTGTCACAAACTTTTTTGTAGCCCACATCTCCCTCTACAAAAAAGGTCCTAATAAAAATTTCGATATCTGTTTTTATTTACGAGATATCGCTTGATAACTGTCCTCAGTTGAAATGCACTTATCCTAGTTTACCAATTCACTACAGACATGCCAAACCCCAGTTTGTTTTTCCCATTCCTCACGTAAACCCTGACGACATCACTCGCGTTATATATCTCACCCCCCTCCAGGCCCACCGGAAAGTAATTTACTCCAACAGTCAAATTAACTCCCCCAGGTAACGCCAGCAGCAGTTCGCTGGGACGAAACCCCGGGCCACGGCAAGGGTGGCGAGACCCCGGGTGCGACTCCCGGTGTCTCCACCCGCATGTGGGACTCGACCCCGGGCCACGCCACCCCCGGCGCAGTGACCCCCGGCCGTGAGACCCCCTCCCACGACAAAGTAATAACAAGCCGAAGAAATCGTTGGGACGAGACCCCGAAGACCGAGCGGGAGACCCCGGGCCACAACAGCGGTTGGGCGGAGACCCCGCGGACAGACCGAGTAGCAGGTGACCTCATCCAGGAGACCCCCACCCCCTCCGCCTCAAAGCGTCGTTCAAGATGGGACGAGACCCCCTCGAACCAGACCCCAGGATCGATGACACCGCAGACCCCAGCGACTCCTCTGACGACTCCCCACCAAACCATGATGACCCCCAGTGCAGTGACCCCGACAGGGCCGAAGGCCATGGGGTTGGCGACCCCCACCCCCGGCCACCTGATGTCAATGACCCCTGAGCAGTTGCAGGCGTACCGTTGGGAGCGAGAGATCGACGAGAGAAATCGCCCCCTCTCCGACGACGAGTTGGACGCCCTCTTTCCACCTGGCTACAAGGTCCTGCAGCCCCCAGCGGGCTACATCCCCATCAGAACCCCCGCCAGGAAGCTCACGGCGACCCCCACCCCCATCGCCGGGACCCCCCAGGGTTTCTTCATCCAGACCGAGGACAAATCCGCAAAATTCGTGGACAATCAGCCCAAGGGAAATCTCCCTTTCATGAAGCCCGAGGACGCCCAGTACTTTGACAAACTCCTGGTGGACGTCGACGAGGAGTCCCTGAGCCCTGAAGAGCAGAAGGAGCGAAAGATCATGAAACTCCTGCTGAAAATCAAGAATGGAACCCCTCCGATGAGGAAAGCAGCTCTCAGACAGATAACGGATAAAGCCAGGGAGTTTGGGGCTGGTCCTCTGTTCAACCAGATCCTCCCCCTGCTGATGTCCCCCACCCTGGAGGACCAGGAGCGTCATCTCCTGGTGAAGGTGATCGACAGAATTCTCTACAAGCTGGACGACCTGGTGCGGCCGTACGTTCACAAGATTCTCGTCGTAATCGAGCCCCTGCTGATCGACGAGGACTATTACGCGAGGGTTGAGGGTCGAGAGATCATCTCGAACCTGGCGAAGGCAGCGGGTCTGGCGACAATGATCTCCACGATGCGACCGGACATCGATAATATCGACGAGTACGTGAGGAACACGACGGCCAGGGCGTTCGCTGTTGTTGCGTCAGCCCTGGGAATCCCCTCGCTTCTTCCTTTCTTGAAGGCTGTCTGCAGGAGCAAGAAGTCGTGGCAGGCGAGGCACACGGGCATCAAGATCGTCCAGCAGATTGCGATCCTCATGGGCTGCGCCATTCTCCCTCACCTCAAGAGTCTCGTGGAGATCATCGAGCATGGGCTCGTGGATGAGCAGCAGAAAGTCAGAACGATCACAGCTTTGGCGATTGCTGCTCTGGCGGAGGCCGCCACACCCTACGGCATCGAGAGCTTTGACTCTGTCCTCAAGCCCCTGTGGAAGGGCATCAGGACCCACCGGGGGAAGGGCCTCGCCGCCTTCCTCAAGGCCATTGGCTATCTCATCCCCCTGATGGACGCGGAGTACGCGAATTACTACACGAGGGAAGTCATGCTGATCCTCATCAGGGAGTTTCAGTCCCCTGACGAGGAGATGAAGAAGATTGTTCTGAAGGTGGTTAAGCAGTGCTGTGGGACTGACGGTGTGGAGGCCCAGTACATCAAGGACGAGATCCTCCCCCACTTCTTCAAGCACTTTTGGAATCACCGGATGGCCCTCGACAGGAGGAACTACCGACAGCTGGTGGACACCACTGTGGAGATTGCGAATAAGGTGGGGGCGTCTGAGATCATCAATCGAGTGGTGGACGATCTCAAGGACGAGAACGAGCAGTACAGGAAAATGGTGATGGAGACAATCGAGAAGATAATGGGGAATCTGGGGGCTGCTGACGTCGATTCGAGGCTCGAGGAGCAGCTGATCGACGGAATTCTTTACGCTTTTCAGGAGCAGACGACTGAGGACGTCGTCATGCTGAATGGATTTGGAACTATTGTCAACACCCTGGGGAAGAGGGTGAAGGCCTACCTCCCCCAGATCTGTGGCACCATCCTCTGGAGGCTGAACAACAAATCGGCGAAGGTCAGGCAACAGGCGGCTGACCTCATATCCAGGATTGCTGTTGTCATGAAGACGTGCCAGGAGGAGAAGCTCATGGGCCATCTGGGGGTTGTACTCTACGAATACCTCGGGGAGGAGTACCCGGAGGTGCTGGGGAGCATCTTGGGGGCCCTCAAGGCCATTGTGAATGTCATCGGAATGACCAAGATGACCCCTCCCATTAAGGACCTCCTCCCCAGGCTCACGCCCATTCTGAAAAATCGACATGAGAAAGTCCAGGAGAACTGCATCGACCTCGTGGGGAGGATCGCCGACAGGGGGCCTGAGTACGTCTCAGCGAGGGAGTGGATGAGGATCTGCTTCGAACTGTTGGAGCTCCTCAAGGCACACAAGAAGGCCATCAGGAGGGCTACTGTCAACACATTTGGGTACATCGCCAAGGCCATTGGCCCTCACGATGTCCTCGCCACTCTTCTCAATAATCTCAAAGTACAGGAGAGGCAGAACAGGGTCTGCACGACTGTTGCTATTGCCATTGTCGCTGAGACCTGCAGCCCTTTCACTGTTCTCCCAGCTCTGATGAATGAGTACAGGGTTCCTGAGCTCAATGTGCAGAATGGAGTCCTCAAGTCGCTCAGCTTTTTGTTTGAGTACATCGGGGAGATGGGGAAGGACTATATTTATGCTGTCAGTCCTCTGTTGGAGGACGCACTCATGGACAGGGATCTGGTTCATCGGCAGACCGCGTGTGCAGCTATCAAACACATGGCTCTGGGGGTCTACGGGTTCGGCTGCGAGGACGCTCTCATTCATCTTCTTAATCATGTTTGGCCGAATGTCTTTGAGACGTCGCCGCATCTCGTTCAGGCCTTCATGGACGCTGTGGACGGGCTCAGGGTCGCCCTCGGACCCATTAAAATCCTTCAGTACACCCTCCAGGGGCTCTTCCATCCTGCCAGGAAGGTGCGCGATGTCTACTGGAAAATATATAATTCACTTTATATCGGGGGACAGGATGCACTGGTCGCGGGATACCCCAGGATTCTCAATGACCCCAAGAACCAGTACATTCGGTATGAACTTGACTATGTGCTGTAATAGATTCTTTTTCCAGGGATCGAAATGCAGGAGAATAATCACGGATAATGTTTTCTTATTCTTTAAACAATATTTAGAAATGTTCATGTGGATTTTATGTTTAATATAATTGCTGTATATGTAAGATTGTGGAGTTTTTATTTCATGAACCTAGTACATCTTTTCAGGGGCAGGAAAATGAGTCGGGGAATTTTTAAAGTACTTAAGTCAAACGTTCGGGTCAATTCATTTATTCCACATTGATTGGAATAATTTTATTTTCCAATTGAGAAAAAATGATTTCTCTTTGTGATGAACTCTGAGCTCAATTGATAAATCTGTTTCTGAGTTATGAATATTTTTAAAAAAGTCAAAAGTGTCCATTTTACCCTACCCTCCCCTGTCCACGTAAAGTTACAGCTGTATCAAAGCTGCAGCCACCCGCAGATTTTTTACTGCAAAAAATGGATAGTCCAGACCGGGATGCGCTCATTTGGTAATTAAAGTCGAATTTACATTTCAGTTTTAGTCATTTTTCGTAATAAAATTGACGACTGCTCGCATCGAAATTTCGGTAGATTCAGTCCTGCGGACGTCCCTTAGGCATCCGAAGTCGTCAAAATGTATGAACTTAACTATGTGCTGTAATAGATTCTTTTTCCAGAGATCGAAATGCAGGAGAATAATCACGGATAATGTTTTCTTATTCTTTAAACAATATTTAGAAATGTTCATGTGGATTTTATGTTTAATATAATTGCTGTATATGTAAGATTGTGGAGTTTTTATTTCATGAACCTAGTACATCTTTTCAGGGGCAGTAAAATGAGTCGGGGAATTTTTAAAGTACTTAAGTCAAACGTTCGGGTCAATTCATTTATTCCACATTGATTGATTCCACATTGATTGGAATAATTTTATTTTCCAATTGAGAAACAATGATTTCTCTTTGTGATGAACTCTGAGCTCAATTGATAAATCTGTTTCTGAGTTATGAATATTTTTAAAAAAGTCAAAAGTGTCCATTTTACCCTACCCTCCCCTGTCCACGTAAAGTTACAGCTGTATCAAAGCTGCAGCCACCCGCAGATTTTTTACTGCAAAAAATGGATAGTCCAGACCGGGATGCGCTCATTTGGTAATTAAAGTCGAATTTACATTTCAGTTTTGGTCATTTTTCGTAATAAAATTGACGATTGCTCCCATCGAAATTTCGGTTGATTCAGTCCTGCGGACGTCCCTCAGGCATCCGAAGTCGTCAAAATGCCACTTTGATGTTCGAAAACTCACGAATTGTATCAGGAGAACATGAGCCGTGCGCAGGTCAACTGCGCACACAGAGAATACCTCCTCTGCTGTCGTGCGCTCCTGATCCCCTCGGGCGGTTTCTAGCCCGAAATATGGCGGTCCGGCGCGTTTTATTCGCACATTCGGGGTTAAATTTCATTGGTCAAACCCCGAGCTTCGATTATCCTCGGGGGCTGTCGGGTTTCGAGGGACTTCATTGGTGGAAACCTTTTGAAATTTCAACGGAAAACAGAGTCCATCTTGGCACGAGTGACAACATTGAGTTTATTGAGTTATTCCCCTGGAAGAGTGCGTTTTTCTCGTTGATTAGAGTGAAATTTTAGCGGCACGAAACATGGATAATGCCGATACCCTCGAGGCTATGCAAACACTCCTGGAGCAAGTGGCTCTCCCCTCATCGCTGGAGCAAATAAAAAGTCCGACCGAGGATTTCATGGTGAACCTCATCTCGGCGTTTTTCACTCACTGCCATATTAATGTTGCTGCGATTAAACAGGTGAGTCCTTCAAATCAGCCTCGAATTCCCGAAATAAATGAAGAGGTCATGAACTCGTCTAAAAGTTCGAGACATTCAACAGAAATTCAACAAACGGGTCAAGTCGATTTTGGCTATTTTGACTATTGTCAGTTTTTGACGAATATCTCGGGATCTAAGAGAGATTGGAAAATTTTTGTCATGACCTTTTTTGTAGGGCTACTTGAGAGTTATAAAAAAGGTCCTTAGAAGAATTTTGCTATCTCTCCTAGATTCCGAGATATTCATCAAAAGCTGACAATAGTCAAAATCGACTTCACCTGATTCACCACTTCACTACTGAATAACTCTTCAAATTTCGAGTAAAAAATCTTCAAAGTTTTAACAACGAATAATTTACATGGAATTCCCATTGATCTTGTTATTAATAGCTCTGAAAAACAGAGCTATTAATAATAATAATTCAGTAGCGAAGTGGTAAAGCGGTTGAAGTCGACTTATCTCCCCGTTGAGTTTTTGAGGAATATTTTGGAATCTAAGGGAGATAGCGAAATTTTTGTAATTGCATTTGTTGTAGCTCTCAGTCGGCTCTACAAAAAAGGTTATGACAAAAATTTTGCTGTCTCCCTTAGATTCCGAGATATTCATTGAAAACTGGTCAATTGTCAAAATTGACTTACACCGTTGTACCACTTCGCTACTGAATTGATCTATGAAGTTATTATTCATCTCCCTAGTTAATATTAAGGAAGTAGGATCATGGGAAATGCGAAGAAAAACTGCACTAGATTATTCTCACTTCGCGACGTTTCGCTTACAATTGAAACTTCCTCAAAATTTCCTTAATCTTCCTCAAATTGACATAATGAGTTCCCAATTCATCAAATCATCAATAACCTAAGTAGATATTTTTTAAAACGTCGCCCATCCCCAGTCCCTCATACTATTCTTCCTACTCCTCCACTTATTTTGGTGAACACCTCCTTTAGCTTTGAATTTATTCCCTGAAATCCCTCCCAGGAGTGAATTCCCTCGCCCCTAACGATCCCTCAATTATTTTAAAGCTGACACCGAACCAGCTGAACGCCCTGGAGGTAACGAACCCGGAGAACGCCTGGGTGGCGCCCATCCTGAACCTCCGAGAGGCAATGGCGACTGTGGGCCGTAAGATATTCCTGAAGGACTTCCAGATCACGGACATCACATCCCCCCGCCACATCAGAGCCAAGAGGCAGCTCAGGCTCATGGGGAATTTCCTCCTCTACGCGAACAACAAGAAGTCCCACATGCAGGGGAGAATCGATGGGGTTTTGTCCAGAGCAGAGAGGATCCAGAGTGTCCGGACGCAGAAGCAGGAGATCATGGAGAGGATGAACAAGCAGGCGATGACGACGGCCCAGAAGAAGGTGGAGCTCGAGAGGATACGGGAGGACGTAAACGATAATGAAGTCAGGATTTCCCAGAACAAAAGTAAAATCGCGAGTGACGATAAAGTGCTCAAAGAGAGGGAGGAGTTGAGGGCTCAGAAGATCGCGAGGAACCAGGCCAAGAGGGCGAACCTGCAGAAGCGTCAGGACACCCTGGACGAACTCAGTGCGAGGATCGTCAAGTCTCCTGAGAAGTTCAGGGCGCAGTTGAGGGAGCTCACAGAGGCCAGGAAAAATCAAGAGGAGAAGCGAGAGAACATGCTGGTGGCTATTCTCCACAAGAAGACACTACTCCAGAATTTCGAAGCCGCTCTGGGCCTCATCAAGAAGGAGCAGAGTAAATTGAAGGAGGTCATTGAGGACCAGAAGAAGCTCAAGGCCATGAAGAAGGAGAACGAGAGGCTCAGGGAGGAGGTCGAGGAGGCACAGAGGACTATCAGTCTTGCGGAGAATCTGGGGAATCAGGAGGAGCACCAGGTGATCGCTGGGGCCATTCAGGAATGCGAGAAACAGTGCCAGGAGAGGATTCTCAAGGTCAAGAAGAGTTTTATGGAGATTGATGCGGAGAAGAAGTCGTTGGAGAGGAAGAGGGAGAACTTGGAGATCAGGTGCACTGAGTTGGGGTCCGAGACTTTGAAAATTCGGAGGATCGTGGGGGAGGTTGAGAGGGATATTGAGACGTTCTTCAAGGAGTGCCAGGAGCTGCATGATTCGGAGGTGGCGAAGGTGCAGAGGCTGCATTCCGCAGCTAATCCTGGGATGGAGTGATGAGTTTATTGGAATTTATTACTTTTGTGATTCTCCGTTGTTGATGCATTTTAAGATTTCGAAATAAATCATTATTTTTGCAGTATTTTTAATATTTTCATTTTAATGCTGTATGAAATTCCAATGATAATTGTGTTGTTACTCACAGATTAATGAAGGGTGGGAATGAGATCGAAATGTCGACTAGTTTCACGTCATGATTAATTGATGTTGATTTATTTACTGGTGATCGCAAGATCAAGGAAGAACCACCTTCTTGGGTATTTTTAATATTGAATTCTCACATTATTTTACGATAAAGTGCTCAGAATCCTGGGATGGAATGATGAGTTTATTGGAATTTATTACTTTTGTGATTCTCCGTTGTTGATGCATTTTAAGATTTCGAAATAAATCATTATTTTTGCAGTATTTTTAATATTTTCATTTTAATAATTGTGTCGTTACTCACAGATTAATGAAGAGTGGGAAGTCCTGAAGAGGATCTCGAATGAGATCAAAACGTCGACTAGTTTCATATTGAACTCTCACATTATTTTACGATAAGATGCTCAGAATTCTGGGATGAGTTAATTGGAATTTATTACTTTTGTGATTCTCCGTAGTTGATACATTTTAATATTTCGAAATAAATCGTTATTTTTACAGTATTTTTAATATTGAATTCTCATTATTTTGATGAATTGCGCATTTTAATTTACTCCTGAAATATCTCGGAAATTAATAATGCGATATATTGAATTTTTCATTGAAGAGCCAGACAAACATTTTGACGGAATCGTTAAATAAGAAAAATAATCTGTTACCGACAATTTAAGTACAATTTTGGCTCTCGTGTCGACTCCCGAAGATTGAAAATTTGTTATATACACATTTGAAATGTCACATCGATTCTATAACACTGAAAAGGCCAACTTTTTATAGCTAAAATTGGGTGAAGACGATTTGATTCTGAAGAGTAATTAGTACACGGTTAACCTCGACGTATTTACATAATATGAACAGGCTCAACGGTTCGTTAAAGGCATACTAACTACTAATTTCTCATTTGAAATCCTAACGAACTATCTGAACAAAATTTACAACGTTCAACAAGATAAATCTGAATATATACATTGATAACTGGAGTCAGGTCCGCAGTTCCACCAATTCACCGAATCCTCCCCTAAAATTCCGAAACAATCACCAAAAAAAAACCATCGAACGTAGAAAACGCGATAAAAAACTGATTCGAAATGTCTATCGACTTTGAAAAAATTCCTTAACCCTCTCGGCTACTTCTATTAATGTTGAGGTGGCAGTGATATCATAGACAGTTAAAAAATCCAGAAACATTATCCAACGAATGATTCTTCGACGTCAATTGATCCCTAGGACTCGACAACTAAAATGATCCTCGAGCGACATTTAATTAATTTAAAAAACCAACTCCTCAAACTGAACTGACTTGGACTGACGATGGAATATTGTCTGACTCGTGCCTGTGGCCGATCGCAGGCTCGAGTTCTACGGACTCTGACACATCAGCAGACAGATGTTTCTCATGCTCGACAATGGTGCTGTTATCGCCATCATTTTTCTTTTTTCCAGCAGCCCCATTGGCGTCTACCTCGTCACTATTGAGCATTGGCCGACTGCCCCGCACGCTCTCCTTCGACATCTGTCCACTCGACTTCTTCTCCTTCTCAGTCCCCTGGACGTAGCCATTCTTCGCGGATTTTCCGTCCTTATCTTTCGGCTTCTTCGATAAACCGAAATTCGAGATTTTCGATGCACTTTTGCCCGTCGACTGGCGGATCGAGCCGGCTCTCGAGGGGTCCCCGCCCTCTCCCTCCTCAGTTATCGACACCAGGTTTGCCTTTGCATCCCCGCTGCCCTCTTCCTTCGCTATTATCGGGATATCATCTGAAAAAAAGAAATCACACGATTAAATGAGTGAAATAACAGTGGAGAATTCTTCGGAGCCATCTCTCGCCTCTTAGCAAGCCTCAAGTAACTCCCTAAAAATTTACATCATGTGTACACGTCCCTGCACACGACTGTCCTCATCTTCTGTAGCAAGTGAAAGTGAAAAAGCGTGCGTGTCGATTTTTTACTTGAAATACTCGTCTCCCTTTTTCTCAGGTCTCTTCGTTCCTCAGATCGTTGCGTTCCTCCTGGAGATTTTAGTCAGCGAAGCCAAGACACATCGAGTGCACGAAATGAAAAGAATAGTGCAGTGACCATTGACGACGTCAGTGGGATTTTAATGACTTTTTACACTTTGGATTTTTGCATTTTTGGCATTTTCTCAAACTCGCTTGATTACTTTTTGATTCTACATACAAAGTGTCGATCGATGCGATTATTTTCTCGCCGAGTGCTTGCTCCTCAAGGACCCTGTAGAGTCTGGCACCAGCACTCAGACGACTCTCGCTTCCTGGTGACGCGTTTTTGTCTTTGTCTTTGCGTCTGCGGTGGACTTCCTCCTCGTGTTTTTTCTCCTTTGATTTTTGCTTTGGGGAGGTGCGGTTGGGGGAGCCGTGACTGCTCGCTAGGCTCTCGCGGCGGGAGGTGTCCACTGATGAGGCGCCACTTCGGGGGGGATTGACTTCCTCGTCGTCCAGGGAGTATTGAGCGTGCTTTCGCAGCCAGGCGCGACGCTTTGTTGACAGCACTGGTGGCGCTGAGGACGAGTGGCTGGGCTCCGCGGGTTTTGGCTCGATTGGCTCGAATAAATTGGCGTCGAGATCGTCTAATCGAAATTGCATGTTCATACTGGGGAAATTCAATTTTTTCGGGCTTTGGCCCCGGTGTACTATCTCGCGAATGTCATCTGGATTTTTTTTCATCTTTCGTAATCCAAAATTGTCAATTGAGTGGTACGTCGTGTAGAAATTCACAAAAATATGATAGAATGACGAAAAAAATAGAAAAAATTCTGAACTTTTTCAAAGAGCGCTTTTAGTTGAGAGTCAGAATGAGTTGAAAAATGTGGAAATTACAAATATCAGATACATTTTTCAATTTCTTGTTATTCAAATTATTCTGAATATAAATGAAAAATGCTCTTTGAAAAAATTGAGAATTTCTTCTACTTTTTTTTGATTATTAATAATTTTTCGAAACTTCTGCATAATGCAGGACTCAATTGACAATTTCAGATGACGAAAGATAAAAAAAACATCGAGATAACGTTCAAAAGATAGTATATTCGGGCCTTAAATCCCCAAAAATATTCCTGATTGAGTCTTGAATGATTGTTAGGTAAATTATGAGACAGCTTTTGTCGCATGTTTTTACATTTTTAATTAATTTTGTTTCAACAGATTAATAAATTACCCTGAAGAAGTGCACAATCTCTAATATTTTTATTCTCGCAGTTTTTCATTTGCTTGTTTACGACCGGATGTTTATGCAAGTTGTTGAGAAAATCAGAAATATTCCTCTTTCATGTTAAAAAAATTGATAAAAATTCACGCGGAGAGGGAGATGAGGAAGGGGAATGTGAGAATATAAAAATCTACCTGGCAATTTCTTCGTCCTGAAAGAGGCATTCGTGATCATTGACTTGGATATCGTTGGTGTAGCTGTCGCTGGTGATAGGGCGACCCCTGTGCCCATTGCACTGTCTCCAGGTTGTCCTAAATATAAGAAAATTGATTAGAACAGTCAAATAGATCAATTGAATTTATTTTCTCAATGACGAATAAATGAATAAATGACCTCAAATCAGTAGCGAAATGGTCAAACGGTTCAAGTCAATTTAAATTGTTCAATTTAAACTAAAGTTGATTTGGTCTTTAGTTGAGTTTTCCGGAAATATTTCCGAATCTAAGGGAGATAGCGAAATTTTCATAATAACCTTTTTTGTAGAGCGACTCGAGAGCTACTAAAAAGGTCATGAGAAAAATTCCGCTATCTCCCTTAGATTCCGAGATATTCACGTTTTACCACTTCGCTACTGAAATTTTACCAAATAAATGAGAAAAAATGATCCTCACCAGAAGGTCCCGAGCTGCTAGAGTTTCTTATCGCATTTGTCACCAGCATAACATCAGGATATGTGTCATAACATGCCCTATTGTGCACATCTTCCACTGCCTGACAACCCACGTACCAGCAATCATTGTACATAGCAAAATAAATTCCATGAAGAAACTCCAACAGAAATTGATTCGACACTGGAATGCGTGGGAGGAGGCGAGGGACAAAACTCGATTCACTGTAGGACGAGCGTTGATGGTGTCCTGGTTTCATGAACCCCTGGGTGACGAGTCTGAAAACACATTGAGAATATCATCATGTTGGTGAGTGTTGAGGCCTCTTGGGGCTGCTACTCACTTTGTCGCCACTTTGCACAACTGCTCCAGCGCTGATTTATTGATGTAACTCAACTGTTGATTATAAATAAACAGAAGTGCTGTCATGACCTTGAGACGGTTCTGGGCATTGAGAGTCTCCACTTGCTGGAGTGGACCCCAGCTTACTAGTTTTGAATTGCACTCCTCAAAACGACGAACTGCACTTTCGGTTAGGGATGCTGGTGCCAGGCTTGATGGCTAAATGTTCAAAAATATTATTAAAAACAAAATCTCTTTGATAAACATCCAATGTCACGTTTTTTTAAAGCCAATCTGTTCCGCATAACGTGTTCTTTCTTTAGCGTTGTACTATCATATAATATATTATGATGTACTATATTTAAAAAAAAAATTTAACACTTTTTTCTCAATTTTGATATAATAAATAGCATAAAATCGATTATTCATAAAATTGAATTGAAGTAAATAAAATATAAATACTATAATATATGTAGTATAAATATTATATTATATATCATATAATATAATATATACATACTAAACTAAATAGGAAAAAGAATTAAATTTCAGTATTCTAAATTGCAAATTTTCAACACTTTTTTAAAAAAACAAACAATTCACAATCGTGCTGCATAGGAATTGTTATTCCATTCACCTCATGATAAATAGACAGCATAGCCAGTGATGGAAGCCTGAAAGACACGGATTTGGGCTCTCCATTCTTGTCCACGACTTCCAGATTGTAGAGACCAATCAGAAGTGTCTCGACAGATCGACAATTCTGCAATAAAAACAGAGTCAACTCCTCGTTCTTATTAAAAACTCCCCGGTGTCATCCTGACGTCTATAATCATCAAGATGACACATGCAAACTCAAGTCTTACATAACAAGGACTGATCTTAATGAATGACTCATGTTTTTGCTTCTTCGGAGCAAAATACAAACTCCAGAATTTCCCTTCAATATTCACAGCCCAGAAATAAAATGATGAGTCGATCTCAAGTGGAATAAATATGTAAGAGTAATGTTATGTTATATGTTGGTTTTCCCTTGGAGAATCTTTTGTATCTCAGGGAAATAATAAATTGCTTCTACCTACACTGAGATAAAACCAAACACTCTGTCAAACAAGTCTTGTTTGGGCCAGCAAAATCGCTAGTTGAAAATTGCCAAAAAGAATTTCTTTGTTTGGAATTTGATCTATTGATCTATCTATCTATCTATCTATCTATCTATCTATCCATCCATCCCCTTCACCTTGATGTCCCCATGTGCCACAGAGTTCAGGTAAATGAAGATAAGAGTAGGAACGAACTGGAGAGTGAACCTCTGGAGTTCGATCTCTCGTGAGCGATAGAAATCGAACAGCTGATTGCAGACAGTGTCCACTAGCTAGAAAGAACACAAATTCAAGATTATTCAACGATTCCTGATGCCCTCGGTGTCCAGGGTGCTGAAGCATAAATTCACCTCATTGTACTTGCTCCTCTCCTCCAATAAAACATAGAGAGCCCGAACAATCTCGCTGTCCTGTGCCAGAGTGCTGGCGAAACTCTTCAATTCACTCGTCGAGTACTCAGCACAGTCGATCAGCCACTCATTGATCAGACTCTCCGTCATGATGAAGTCGATATATCGTCCCGAAAAATGATCTGAAGCCTCTGAAAGGTGTCCTGCAAAAATCAATCACGAGTGATTGAAATCCTCTCAGCAGATAATTAAAATTTTTATCACCAGCTAATGACTCACCCTGTTGTTTATCTAAATTTCCGAGACTCACGAGTGGAATTTGTGTCAGACCTCATCGTAGCACCCACCACGTATCAACAAAAAACCTCCAAATTAACACCACAATTTTTTTATTGACCAGTGGATTGACTGAACGACGTAAAGTGTGCGTTCTGAGGTTCGGAACGTCAATGAGAGGCGCCCAACATTAATTTCCACGTAAATGTACTGCAGGGATCTACTTCACCGGTGGATTCCACTTAATCTCTCGTGCGCAGATGCGTGAATTATTTGAATGAAGAAAGTTGTAGATCATTCATAATATTTCAGTCCTTTCGCCCTTTATTTTTGATTAATGAAACATTCTTGACATTTACCGAGGATTAATTGAGTTCGAAGCATTTCGTTATGACATTTGAATGTTACCAGAGAAATGGATATGTCGTAAGAATATTAAAATTACAGCGATCAATTCGAATTAGAAATGAAAAAAATTGAAAACGGAATATCTAAGTCAAGGGCAGAATAGCGACGATAGGGCGAATAATTCGTAATGAGGGCTCAGCCACTCTGAAATAATTAAAAAATGTGGCCGTTAGGTGTATAGAGACACAATAATAACTCGTGGTTGTGGAATAAAGACGTTTGTATTTAGATTTGAAGAGATGTGTTTACATCGTGTGTCGGTATCAGACTGAATCGGACTGAACTCAACTGAACTGCACTGGTAGAAAGGATTAGTTATTGTTAACGAATGGNCCTTTGTTAACTATTAACGAATGAACATTTCAGTAGCGAAGCGGTAAACCGGGTTAAGTCGATTTTGACTTTTCGTCAGTTTTTGACGGATATCTCGGAACCTAAGAGAGATAGCGAAATTTTGTTCATGACCTTTTTTATAACACTTAATTGCATCTACAAAAAAGGTTTTGACAAAAATTTTTCTATCTCTGTTAGATTCCGAGATATTCTTCAAAAACTGGCCAATAGTCAAAATCGACTTAACCCGGTTTACCGCTTCGCTACTGAAATGTTCATTCGTTAATAGTTAACAAAGGCACATTTGAGGCTGATTTGACTCGATTTTCACCTTTCAAGTGAACCACTCATTTTTTTTTTTTTAGAATTAGAATATGCGCGCCTGATCACTTAAAGCGCCCAGAGTCACCTAAATCATACGATCTTTTGTAACATCCGCCTTAGTTTCGGTCAGTCACACATCCCCAGCCCTGTTTCTCACTAGGCTAATAAGGCTGGTGACAGCCGCTTGTTGTAAGTCCTCTGGTTCCAGGAAAGCCTGGCCCCAGAGCCACTCGTTAACTATTAACGAATATTCGTTTGGTCATATTGAACTCTACCATTCGTTAACAGTTGACGAATCTCGTTTGGAATAAATGAATCAGTCCATCAGTGTGACTGACTGAGCATTTTGGTCGGGAATACGAGGGTTTATAGAGGAGTGTGGGGTAAAACGGACACTTTTGCCTTTTATAAAAATATTCATAACTCAGAAATAGATTCATCAATTGAGCTCAGTCTTCGCTCATCACAAAGAGGAATCATTGTTTTTCAATTGAAAAATAAAATCATTCCATTTCATGAACAGTTCAACACGTCATGAATATTTTTAAAAAAGTCGAAGGTGTCCATTTTACCCTACCTTCCCCTGTACCTTTTATTATGGAAGGTTCGAGAATTGTCCAGAAATTTCGTGAGGAACAAGGATGGGATATTTGTCTCGAATACGACAATAGAGAGTATTCGAGACGCGTTAATCGAAATTCGACATAATAATACGTTTGTGGCTCGCGCCACAAAAAAAAGGACGTAATGGTGCGTGGGCGGATAATAATCGTAGATGTCACAGAAACCCTTCATTTGATCTAGATTCGTCATTCCTCGAGTTACTACACCTCGCGAAACGAAAGACTCGATTTAATTTATCAAAGGCTTCAGGCAAGAATACATCACTATAAAAATATAAAAATTATTGACCAACACATAATGAACGCCTAGGATTGTGTCAACTGCATCCGTAGGTGTGAGGAAACGACGAATTTGGGTATGCATGTTTTAACATTTTTTATTCAATGTTATATCCGTTGAGCTTTCCAGAGGCCCATCGCCCACAGAAGCAGTTTGCTTGAATATATTTTTTCACATACAGTGCACACAGTGCTACTGGCACACAGCTCGCTATTATTAGTTCCTAGTCATCGGACGTCCCTCCTTATTCCCCCCAATGTGGATTGAAATACGCGGAGAAAACGTGTACGAATGTACTTTTGGTGAGAAGAGCATCCCAATACCTGAATAAAACCCTCGGAATTATTTGATTTTTTTGTACCCACTGTTTTAATCGTTGGAATGAGCTGTTGTTTCGACGATTGGATCAACCTTTTTCCTTTCGGTGTTCTGTATGTTTTACATCAGCATTTTGCCAGTCAAATTGTGCGTGAAGTACGTAATATTGTATTGATGTGAGCATGAGTCTTGTCGCGCACTTGTCATTGTAAGTATGCGAATAGCTGTTAACTTTGAATTTTTACTCTGCACGCGACGGTTTCTAATGTTTATGTCGTTTTGTCAATTTTTTTTTAACAGTTTTGTGAATTTTTCCACGAAAATTTCACTCGCGCCAACAGAAATGGTCCATTTGAATTAAATAAACTTTGCAATATGAAAGGATAAATCATTTTGAGAAGTGTTAAAAAATATGGAGGAGGTGGTTGACAGGTGGGGGCGCACGGGGCGTCAAAGATGGCGGCGCCTCCACCTCGCGTTTTTAAACATTTATCAGTATTATTTAGCCTCTTCAGAGAAGTCTCAACTTGCTTCATCCGGTTTCTGTAATATGAACAAATTTTTTAAGCCGTCTTTCGGATTTTTTCATCATTTTTTGCCTGAGAATTCAGGACGCAAAGTTTTTCCCGCATTTCGGTAGTTTTTTTTACTCCTGAGGCCTCTTGAAGTTGCAAAAATGAAGACAATGGAATTAATGCCACAATTAATGTTGATTGGTTCAGATGAGGGATGCAGTTGTCCAAAAACGTAGCAATAGTGTAGCTCAACGGGGAAAACCGAGCATCGAGATTTACAGACCACCAGGTAAGGGTCTATAGTTATTACGTTAACTCGTTGAATAATGAGTTTTCATAGTGTATGATTTTTCGAGGCGGAAGATCAGAAGGCACAACGGCGAACCCACAGCTGAACGTTCACGCCAAGGAATTCACGTTGAAGCAGATCGAAATGCATAATAATAATTCAAAGTGAGTTTAACTTCGATTTTAACGATTAACGATTAAAGGCGTTTATTAACATAAAATACACTTTAAGAGTGCTTAAGAGGATTCCACGGATGGAAAAATTCAAAAGAATTTTCTAGCGAATTTCTATTTGTTTCTATCTGATTTTATTGGATATTCGATAAGAAAAAGTCGATCAGAAAAGTTTTCTCTTGAGATTTTTTCTAGGAGACCCCGCAATTTCCCTTNTTTTTTTTTTTTTTTTTTTTTTTTTTTTTTTTTTTTTTTTTTTTTTTTTTTTTTTTTTTTTTTTTAATTAATAAGCTGAGATGTTTTCTGAGGCTTCACAATCCCCACAACTCTCCCCTCTCCTTTAATCCACTGAATTTCAACACCTTCTCATCAGGCAATACCTCGCCAGTAAAAAAAATCACTTCATAAAGCTTCTCAACGAAACTTGATTTATTGAAACAGCACTATTGCATCGGTAATTAGTCCATGGGAAATGGATAATGACTGTTGGTTTTCCTCTGCAGACACAATCACAATGAGAATCGATCGAGTTACTACAACCTCCAGCAGAGTAAGTCCAGCGGGAATGTGCACAGGTACATGTACCAGCAGCATCAGGGTCAGCAGATGAATTACCATCATCATGGGCCCGTCTTAAAACAGGCGCATGCATTGAACACCTCTGCCTCGAGCGGAAATATTCTGCATGTAATTAACTCCCATAAAAGCATTCCTATTCTAATTTCGAGATGATCAATAAGATCCACGATGAAACGTAAAAAAAATTCAGTCGAGACCCTGAAAAATCGTATTATATTTTTTTTCTGCGACGTTTCGCTAAATATTTTAGTAAAAAATCTCTCTATATAAATTAAAAAATGAGGCGAAAAATTCAGGGGCCTCAAGTTCAGGGGGACGCTTAAATTCAGGGGACGCTGGGTGCCTATACGGGGGTTCCTATATGGGGAGGTGCCTGTATTTATAAGGGATGTCTATATGAGGAGGTGGTCATAAAGGGGATATCGATATTTATGGAGGATTACTATATTAGGGGGTGCTCATATGGAAGATGTTTATGGGTACGGTCACACGGCTGCAGTCACACGGACGGGGGGGGGGAGCGAGCGAAGCGAGCGGGGGAGGGGGGAAAGCCCCCCCCGGGTTAGCGAGCGGAGCGAGCAGGGGGTGAAGCCCCCTAGTATTTTAATAAAAATGTTTAATAGTAAAAGTTTTCGATACATGATCAATAAGATCCACGATGAAACGTAAAAAAAATTGAGTCGAGACCCTGAAAAATCGTATTCTATTTTTTTTCTGCGACGTTTCGCTAAATATTTTAGTAAAAAATCTCTCTATATAAATTAAAAAATGAGGTGAAAAATTCAGGGGACGCTCAAGTTCAGGGGGACCCTTAAATTCTGGTGCCTCTTAAATTCAGGGGACGCTGGGTGCCTATACGGGGGTTCCTATATGGGGAGGTGCCTGTATTTATAAGGAATGTCTATATGAGGAGGTGTCATAAAGGGGATATCGATATTTATGGAGGATTACTATATTAGGGGGTGCTCATATGGAAGATGTTTATGGGTACGGTCACACGGCTGC